GTTTTTTGTATCATGTTTATTTTTCCTGAAGAAACCTGGAATAAACTCACCAAACAGCATTTTTCACATATTTTGATAATTTTTTGTACTGCGTAAAACCAGAAACCCACTATTCCTCAAGTGACTATTTGATTTACATTTATTTTTTGCTTTTTCATTTTTAAGTTTTTTCATAGACAACTAGTCACTACAGATTGTATCTATCAGGTAGATTGTTTTTTTTCCACATTTAGGATAGATTTAAAACTTTTTTTATGATAGAGCTTGTAGTTAGACTGGCTTAGGTTATTTTAGGTTTTCTGAACAACATTTATCTATTACTCAGCGATGACTTAGATCAGACAAGTTCTGAGGTCATTTTAAATAATAAGCATCATTGCAAATAGTGAGGTGTTGCAACTGATCCCAGGCTGTAAACAGATAAAACATTAGCAGTTGGAACATTAAAAAAATAATTTTACTCTTGATAAACTTATTACTGTAATTATAAATCTTGTTGCTGCTTCTTATCTGCTTTGATCAGATGATATGTTTGATAGATTCAAGTTGATCAAAGATGAAGAATGGAGCCATCTCCAAGCCAATTAACGTTTATTTTCTGCATTGGATCATTAACGTCTTTATGTAACATAAGCGCATTTTATATAATTTAAGTCCGTTTCCTCTTCAGCATATAAACAGAGTTATAAAAAGTCATGGACACAGAGACACATGCATGCATCCGTACTGATAAACCTCCTCAAACTACTCTGACCTGATGAAATGTTTTATATAAGGTTAAAAAACTGATGAAGGAATGTTAAAAATTCTGTTATGTGGTCTGTGATATCTTAATGCAACAGCTGCTAAAATCCACCCCATTCTGGTCAACCATGATAAAACCTCATCTTCCGGCAAAACTAGGTGATCCAGATAAATGCTAACCACATTAGATAAAAGCTAAATATTTCAATGCAGGGCTGATTTCAGGGCTGCTAAGTGGCGAGGTGGGTAGCACTGCAGCAAGAAGGTTGTGGGTTCGATTCCTGGCCCTGGGTCTTCCTGCATGGAGTTTGCATGTTCTCCCTGACCATGCATGTGTTCTCTCTGGGTACTCCGGCTTCCTCCTACAGTCCAGAAATATGACTGTTAGGTTAATTGGCTTCTCTAAATTCTCCTTAGGAGTGAGTGTGTGTGTGAATGGTTGTTTGTCTCTGTGTTGCCCTGCGGTGGACTGGCGATCTGTCCAGGGTGGACCCCGCCTCTCACCCGTAGACAGCTGAAGAAGGCACCAGCACCCCTTGTGACCCCACTTGGAATAAGTGTGACAGAAGATGGATGGATATTTCATTTCAGTTTGTTTCTATTGTGCAAATTCAGAACATAATTAATCTCAAGGCAATTTACAGCGACGATTCAATCAGATCTTTCTGTCAGATTGATTAAAGGTTTTTTATGTTAGGAAAAAAAAATTGCAGGTCCCACCGGGAGGATCAACTTATTGTCTTTGCAGGATTTGCTCCTTCTGTATGAGAAAACATACTTTTTAAAGAAACATGAAAAATAAAGAAATACAGCAGATAGAGATGGTCGCACTAGAAGCTGAGCCCACTTTTGATCAAGCAAAATAAGAAAAATAGAATTAAAAGCTTTCATACCCTAAACATTTTTTTAATCCAATAAACCCTGGAGCAGCAACAAGGCATGTAGCAAACACATTGCTGCAACTGTTCACAGAGTCCCTATATGTGTTTAAAAAAAAGGACTGAACCATGGTTTGCGGTTGCGTAACTGGTGGCAGGTGCAAAACTGTTGGAGACGCCCTATTTAAATGATGGTTTTGCGCGTTTTGTGGTTTGCGGCAAAGTAGTTTGTAGTTTGTGCAAACTAATCCATTAAGAAATTTTAATCTTACAGTGACACCCCCACACCCTCCAAAAAAAAATAAAAAATAAAATATATATATATAACCAGGTGTTTTATATTGGCCTGTAGAAAAATGCACATACCAAATGGCTCAC